AGTTCGTTAGGTTTGCGGATCGGCGAATTCGGGTTAAAAAGCGCACGGATTGAAGATTTATGCGATAAATAAAAATGATTCGCGGTTTCAAAATATACCATCAATCTTACATCAGCTGAATACATGTATAGGAGCCGGGATTCCGGACTCCCTCTTTCCAGAGGTTTGGATTGTCAATCGGATCGTCAATTGTTGGTTTGGTCAAGGGAAATTGGTGTTTGGTTGACCAATGTATTTGTTTCATTTGTTTCTTGAGGATCAGGCTAATCACCAAAACCATGCTTGCATTTTACTCTATTTTAGACACAAGTTTAAATTAACAAGATACTCATTTTGTAAAATGGTATTTACTTTTCTTAATCACTTCACATAGTATCATACCCTAGACTATTACGCTAGATTAATCGATCGGCGAACTCAATAAACTAGAGTCAGGGGCACCCAACGACCGTTTTCTGGGAAATATCTGTTCGGAGCCCTCTAGAATGGCTAAAACTTTCGAGAGCCCAAGAACAGCTAAAAATTTCGAGAATATACCGTGCTGACTGTTTGTTGGGCTCAGAATTTCGGGATTTGTGTGGTTTGTTCACCTAAGAATTTCGGATTTTGTAGTAATCTCTAGATTTCTGATTTCGGCACCTAGAAATTTCGTAGCTTTCGTAGTAATTTCTAGATTCTGATTTCGGCATAGCAAAATTTCTAAACCCGGCTGAAAGCCTCATTAGCGAAAATTTCACACAACTGATTTAAAACCCAACGACCCTTTTCTGAGGGTACCAGGCTTACCGGTTACGCGAGCGCTACATCAGCGCGCGCATTGCGTGAATAGCGCTTGTGAGTCCTGTGTATCGGTCAATGGCAACCTCGTCCCCAGGGTCTTCTCGCTTTCCAATATGGCGGCGGCAGGAGAGAAGACCCTGGCACACAGCAGAAATCACGTGACTGATTTGTCCACGGAGAGTGGAAATTTATTCAAGATGGCGGCCAAGATAAAGACTGAGAGGATCTGGGTACGAGGTCTTGGGACTGAAGAAAATCAAACAAAATGGCGGCAAAGGCAAACGCAAGAGAAGCTAAAAATATGAAAGAATGCAGTTAAAAGCCACAGGAATACGGTAGAATGATATAGCGATCTTATTTTCTGTTCAATGACCTTCATTTATTTTAAGCCTGAACGTTCTAGCGTACACGGCACTTAACAACTGTCTACAACTGAACTTTAATAATTTCTCGATAGCGGTCTTTTTTCACTGTTTTCTTTTTTTGCCTACCCTGAGTGCCAGAGGTTCAGTTTTCTTCTTTCGTGAAAGGGGGAGCTTTTTCTAACCGTGAGGGCAATTTATTTCATCTTAGGAATTTCGAGAACACACCTCTGAAGCCAGGAAATTTTTTGTCATGACGCCCTAAAACCTCTTCCGCTCCGAAATTCAACAAGGCATTAAATTGAGTCGCAGACACTTTACCGAATACTACGATAAGTTATGTCAGTTTTGTTACAGATCTTCGTGAGGTTTTTGACTATTGTTTTTCTATCTGTACACATTTTAACTGAACTCTGATATGCAAAAAACAATTTTTTTTTCTGAAAACAAGAACCAGAGAACACTATTTTGTTAATATAATTTGAGGAAACTTTGGTTGAAAATTAAACAGTTCCTTGTTCAGTTTGGATATTTTGTCACTTGATCTGGTACAGGTAATAAAATTATTGTCATCCTTCATCTACTTTACAGTTTCTAGACTTTCTTATTGGCTTTTGATATCTAACCCTGTTCACAATGCTTCCGGGCAATATTTATTTAATCTAGCAAAGACGCTGTCATTAGTTCCCCACAAAAAAAAAATGCCAAGTGAAAAAGCCCAAGTACAAGAAGGTTGGAGGTCAAGCAGCTGAGGATCAAAAACAAATCCGAACTTCCAGCTGGTGAATAAACCATCCTGGATCGGTCCTTACAAAGTTTTACATTTGTCATTGATTGATAGTCTTTTATTTATTAGCGAAGAATAAGAAAAGGGGGGAGGGGAGGTGGAATGGGGCTTAAAAGAGAGGGGGACTTATTGCTAAAACTTTCATCTACTGAAAAGGAGGGCTTATTTGAGAGAGGGAGCCTTAATAGAGGATTTAAGATGCTGTTATTATTGTTTTTTTTGCCTCCCAGATGTAAAAAAAAAGCATTAACCCCGCTTCAATACCTAGCAAAAGGTGAAGAGTGTTTCCATTGTTTGTAATATAGCAATCCAAAATGTATTTTCCACTTTGAAGTAGATTTGATTTTTAGAGCAAAAACTTTCTTAATCCCTCATGACTTTGGTTTATTTTACATATTACTTGGGGCTGCACTTTGCCATTGCAAAGTGCAAATTGACTAAAGGCTAGACTCCAGTTGTTCAAAAATTTGATTGTCCTATCTGAGTCATGTGCACTGTAAAAGTTCCTATCTGATTTGGAGATAATAGATCCTTTAAGTCAAACATGCTTTGCTCGTCAGATGGGCCATTTCGTACTCTAATTGAGACATGACTTGGTAGTGGTGTGCTGATTATCGCTCATAATCTATCATTGATCAGAAACCTAAAGCAAAGTGAGTATTGCTTATACAAATGCTCAATTGATTGTTGTGGAAAATTCACAAAAACATTGTTGACAAATAAGGACATTAATACACCTGTGTTGTCTTTTTGATGGGCTCTTAATGTAGTTTATATGATGTGTAGTTGGTTTTTAAAACTATGTGACAGATAAGCATCGGCTTGCAGGGTAGGTTTTTTGTTTTGTTCACTTACAAAATTATTTTCAGTGTTGAAAGTGGCACACAGGGGTCACAAATCTATAATCTACTATAATTGATTATCAGTTTAATAGTTGGGTTAATCTGATTATTTCTGATGATATGATTATGATACAGACACATGACTAAGACTAACCAACACCTTAAAGTAGACTTTGGAAGTATTTAAGCCAGCACATCTAACAGCTGCCACCTCACAGCCCAACACCTAAACAAGCTAAAAGCCTTGCCTTGTCCCTGTGTGGCATTTCCCAGGCCTTCTTGGTCAATTCATTTCGGTGATGTATCTTAGGCAAACTGGAGGGAAACTGTTCACTGTTTCACTTGGGACCACGTGACGTGAAACTCATTGGCCGTGACTAGGCAACTAAAAGCTCACTATGCTACTGGGGACTCTGGCGCACAACACTTCAAAAGCCTTACATCCCTACATGAAAAATCCCATGATCAAAACGCTGTAGGCCCCTTCCGCTCTTGTTTATTCAGTGGATAGCGATATATGCACCCTTTGAAGCAGTTTATTTTTTTAAATCCAAGTTTTAGAACTGAATTATAGCTGCTTCATAATCATACCCAGCTGGTTTTGGAATACTATAATGCCAGCCACTATTTCACCTGGTCCACAAACCCCCTTTTCAAGCATATAGTGACAAGAACAACATGTACACTTAGCCTACAGTAATTAGAAGCTCAATTAACAGGTTTTGGTTTGACAGAAAACGTATTTATCTTAGGATCACTGTCACCCTATGTAAGGGAATCCGGAATCTGGGAAATTTTTCTCTTGGAATCTGGAATAAAGGTCAAGTACTCAAGATCCCACTTATAATTGGAATCCGGAATCCAAGTTCCACTGACAAAGAATCCAGAATGCAGTATCCATGGTGTAGAATTGAGAGAGGAGGAGAGAGGACAAACTCCTGCTGGCAACTTTAATTTTTGGTTGTTCGGTGACCGTAATGTGCAGGGTGATGACTGAGTGATACAGACCCGTTATCTGCGTTACATACAGGCTTTCTGGGGCTGGATTGGGGGTAATATATTCAGCTGGCAGCTGTGCCGTATACTCTACGTCGCCCTAGAAAATTCGAAGACATTCTCACACTAGATAAAGTTTTCGGAGAAAACTTGAGAGGATCCCTAAAAATTTCGGTCAAGGGAAAAGCTCGTCAGGTAATCTTACGTTTTCGGAAAGCTTTCACTGTAGGCTGTTATTTTCGAGAAAGGCGAAAAACGGCCCTAACTTGAAATTCAAGAGGTTCAAACCACTCCTAGGACGACCGAACAGATCAAATGTTTTTATCGATGCGAATTATTCATTTATATTGCGTTTAAAACACTCCGGGATGCATAACGAGCCATTTCAGATCATTTCCCAGAAAACGGTCGTTGGGTGCCCCTGAGGAGTATCACTGTGCTATTAATACACTGTTCCTCGACACTTTACTACCACCGTGCCACTGTTCCTCTTTTTTAGCTTACTTTACTATCACTGCGCCACTGTTCCACCAAACTTTACTATCACTGCCCCACTGTTCCACCACGCTTTACCATCACTGCGCCACTGTTCCACTGTTCCACCAAACTTTACTACCACTTCACCTTTATTCCACTGTTCCACCACTTTTCTATCACTTTGTAACTGTTGCACTGTTCCAGTACACTTTAATATCACTGCGCCACTATTCCACTGTTCCAACACAATTTACTATCGCTGTGCCACTGCTCCACTGTTCCTTCACACTTTGCTATCACTGCGCCACTGTTCCACTGTTTCAGCACAGTTTACTACTGTTATGGTCTCCCTGTGCGTTTACCATATATAGTAATTAAACGCGCACGCATAGATGTAATAAAACGTGTTTGCAGTGGCCAATGGAGTGATCGACTCGAAAGAGAAGAAAGCCGTCCTGTTAACTAATTTTCCCACTGGAACGTACCAGCTGACGAAAGATTTGGTGGCCCCGATTTTGTTAGGAGAAGATTCTCTCACGTACGACATGATCGCAAAGCGTTTCCAAAAGCAATTAAAGCCCAGAAATCTGTTCTAGCCGTCAGGTGTGAGTTTGGCAACCGAGCGTGTGAGGCAGGAGAAACGGTGAGTCAGTATGTTGCTGTTCTAAGGCATCTAGTTACGGATTACAAGTTTAATGATGCCATGTGATTGGAGAGACTCAGAGATTGGTTTCGGGTGTTCGAGATAAGAGAATGATGTTAGAGCTTTGGAAACTCAAACTCGAGGAACTGCCATTTGATATAGCTGTAGCGAAATACATCGCTATGGAGCGATCTGACAAGGATGTAGAAGCTCTCCAGGGGGATAAAAAGTCAATCCCAGCGAATTTGTTATCTAAGTCAAGGCCATGCGAGAAGCCTAAACCTAAGAAAGAAGCTAAGCCTTCAAAGAAAAAGGGTTTCTCATCTCCTAAAGATAAGGGTGCTCAAAGTTGCTACCACTGTTTTGGAAATTATGATCATAAAAGTTGTCCTTTCAAAAAGGAAAAATGTCACATATTGCAAGGGCTTGTAAATCCAAGAAAAGGGAGACACAAGCTGCCCGACCCCCAGTAAATTATGTAGACAGTGATGACGGGGACAGCGATCACTACCTGGGATCTCTTGAGGTTAATAACGTGGGTGACAAGGATCATGTGATATTGGTCAGCCCCGGAGTACAGGGAAGGGTGGTCAAGATAAAACTAGAAGCAGGTTCTGCTGTGTCTGTACTCCTATAAAAACAGTATAAGGAACGTGGTCACGTGAAGCTAGCAAAGAGCCATATCACACTTAAAACCTCCACTGAGCAGAAAATCACACCTGAGGAAGAGATGAAGTGTAATGTTAAGTTTAAGGGCCAAGAAAAGGAGTTAACCCTACAAGTGGTTGAGACACCGGGGCCAGCATTGTTTGGGCGTGACTGGCTCTCTAAAATTCAGCTGGACTGGGGTGAAATCAAAGCCCTTAAGCTTAGCCAGACACCGGAAGGGGTCATGCAACAAAAAGTGGATCAGTTGTTGCAGCAGTACGAGACTGTATTTTCTGAGATTGAAGGCACACTTAAAGGCCACAAGGCTGATTTGAAGGTCGAGAAGGGCTGCCAGCCTAGCTTTTATAAGCCACCTCAAGTTACATATGCACTTCGCCTCAAGGCACAAGCATAATTGGCACGTTTAGAGAAGGACGGAAAAACATTTTAGCAAACTTGATCGGCGCAAGGCTTATCACCAACTGGAAGTAACAGAGGAATACAAGAAATTCCTCACCATCAATATACGCTAGGGCCTTTTCCACTACAATCGGTTGGTTTTTGGCGTTTCTTCGAGTCCGGCGGTTTAGCAACGTACCAAAGACCAGGTATTACAGGGAATACCTGGCACCCAGTGTATCCTCAATGACATGATCGTCTCGGGCAAAACCAATGAAGTGCATTTGGAGAATCTAAAGAGCGTGCTCAAGTGACTAGAAGACGCGGGTGTGAAGGCCACTAAGGAGAAGTGCAAGTTCTTCAGGAATAGAGCTCAGTTTTGTAGGCCTGAGATCGACAGAGAAGGTCTCCACAAGACACTAAAAGATTGAGGCAGTAGTTAGCGCGTCTAGTCCTGAGAATGTGTCACAGCTTCGCTCATTTTTAGGGCTCATTAACTATTATAGCCGCTTCTTGCCTAATGCACCACAATTCTCCACCCACTACACCAGTTGTTAGAGCAAAACAGCGAATGACAGTAGACGGAACAGTCCGAGCAAGGCTTCACAGAGGCTAACCGCATGCTTACATCTGAGCAGGTGCTAACGCATTATGATCCAGCGTTGCCAGTTAAGCTTGCATGTAATACTTCGCCGACCAGCATCGGTGCGATTCGTTCACACGTCATGCCTGATGGCAGCGAAAGGTCAGTAGCTTTTGTGTCCCGAGCGTTAAACAAGACAGAACGCAGGTACGTACCGATTGACAAGGAGGCATTGTCCATTGTGTGGGGCCGGGGATGAAATGGTCCCATGTGTATCTCTGTGGGAGGGGATTTAGGCTCATTACAGACCACAAGCCCCTCACTGCCGTCTTCCATCCTGAGAAGGGCGTTCCTGCCATGAGCGCTGCGAGACTTCAGCGCTATGTATTGTTCCTGGCTGGTTTCGATTACAAGATAGAGTATTAGAATACGACCAAGCTGTTTCTTAAAATGCTAGACAGCACCACACACAATTTGATAGAATTTTCTCTCAATCGTTTGAAGTAGCTGCGTCGCGCCATTTGCTTTCTTTTTAAAAAGCTTAAATATTTCTTCGCATCTGTTGAATTTTAAAAATCAATAAATGGCCCTATTTTGTTATTTTAGACTATATTTAAGTATTTTAAAAAGCTGTTTCCTGTCGTCTGTTGCTACGAATGTCAAGGATAAACATAGATTTAAACTTGAAAAAATTGGACCAATCTTTGATGGTATACCTAAAAATCACCAAAAGAGTTACTTTAGTTAGTGCTTCCTCTTCTTCATATCTCTACAGGAACATTTTGTGTATGCGTTAAGGCACTGAGTAATGACCTCAGAACAAATTAAATAGACCTAAAATAGTAGTAGTCTCGTGATATAGCCCTTTTAAGAGCATTTGATACGTATTCAGAGCTCTTGGACCTCTTTCCCTGACCAAATTCTAATTACAAGATAACTGACACGTGTCACCAATATTAACTAAAAATTGTAGCCTTTTGACCCATTCCGAGCGGATTTCGTAGACACTGGCCTTTGAGGTCAATGTCTTAACTGAGAAACTAGTGCAGCTACAACTTGTGGCTGCAAGTGGTGGGAATGGCGGTTTTTGCAATTTTTGAACAGTGAAAGAGCGTGGATAATCATGTGACCAGGTATATCGATATTATATTCTGCTTTCTCAGCATTCGTTCTTCCTCTTGGATTCTTGTATCTGTAAAATGTACAAAATAACCATGACGATGTTTTAGAACGAGGCCTTAATCTACCTTGGTGACCATGCATGCCACTGTGATTTAGTTCCTACTATCATATCTTCTGAAATGCTTTAAGTCACACAACACCTGGCAAACATCCCCCCTTGGGTTTTTTCGAGATGGTCTATATTAGAACTTCCAAGAGCCCATATTCATTAAAAATACCGGCCAGTATTAATTTCCTGCTTCAAATGCTCTCCAAGATAGATAAAAAATATCCCCACGTAAAGGGTTGGTATTATATTTTGCTTTTTTTATTGTTACACGAAGTTGTGAAATGAAAATGACTCAGTATGTTTTCCTTTTTTTATTTCCCTGATGATATTAACAGAAGCTGTGATCAACATCCTTTATTAAACCTACAATGCAACGTATCTCATGGAGATAATAATTGATCTAAACCAAGAGATCATAATGATTATAAATTATAAATTATAATTAATTTTTCTTAATACAATATATCATATAACGATAAGATTCCGCTTAGCTCGCCTACTTTAGTCGTAGGAAAAACCTTTTCGAATTACATTCTAGATGTACAACCTGCAACGAGAATTTTTAAATCCACTCGCATATCAAGAATTTTGCTGTCTATATCTTTCAATAAGGCAGATGCTTGCACAGCTATTTCATCAAGTTGTAAAGATGTCACCGGCACTCTTGCCTGCTCTGTAGCAGCGGAGCTCTGAGCAGTAACCATGCCACTACTCGAACTGCTCGTATTTTTGATGGCAGTAATTTTGGTCGGACGGATAACTTCTGTATCTGTATTTCTAGGCTGCAAAGGAACAAGGATTTTTTTTTACACGACACAGTGAGTAAGTTACTTTTAGTTTCAATACAATTAGCTTCTAGTTACGTTACTTGCTTTTTGAAAAAAACCTATTGGGCTCAGTCGCTTGAAGTTGCATAAACTAAGATGATACCAACTTCAGCTAACCTAATAAGTATATTCATTGACTTTTGATACGGATCTTCACTCATTGATGGCGTCCAGTTTGTGTAGGCTTTTCCCACGCTGGTTCGCCTTAATTTGGATCTCCATTGTAAAGGTCACCCATATAGATCAGCCGCTACTGCTCAGAAAATTAATCTTCTAAGCAATTTTCCTATGACGTTGAAAACTGGTTTCGGTAAGTGGTCGTTCGTTTGTTTTATCAGCCAATGGATGAAAAGATTAAAACATGGCCTCTTCGTCTTCCCGCCAAAGAAAACCCTGATATGGAAAAGGCATTATTCGATTGGCCAATCGTGTTGAAATATGACGTCAAAATGAGGTAACGGTTGATTTCTAGTAGGTTATCGGGAATGAAGTTTTTTCACCCGAGCGTTCGCTTAACCAACCAAAAGCCACGCGCGTTTGTAACCGTTCGATAAACCAATCAAATCGCTCTATTTCCGTTCGTTTGTTGTTTATGTTTTGTTCGCGCGTTTTCATTTCAAGGTCATACGAAAATCGCTCTAACTTTGGACGAAAATGTTTGAGCAATTGATCATTTTGAGCTACAACGGGGATGTCTTTAAGTTACCTTAGGCGCCCCCTGAATTTCCTGGATGTAATAAATGACATTCTTTGCAATCCATTCTATTCTTTGCAGACGGTGTGTAATATTATTGGCGTCTGAGAAGGCGGAGAATTGCTTTCTCAACTTCCTTAGATGTGAAATGAAGGCCTTCACAATTTGTCGGCTTAATTCCAGTTTGCTCTGTGAAGGCATAACGTTTGAATTACAAAAATTAACTTTGATTATATTAAAAATGTTAAACATATTGTTTTGTAAAATAAAAGGTTGCGTCATGCAAAGAAGTTAAACATAAAAAAACACCTGCGGAATGATTGCAATTCAGAGAGAAAACGATAAGTCGTAACGAAGACTGTGTAGATCATAACGCTATTAAACACCTCTCATTTACGTTCTGAACGGACGATAATAAAATCAGTATAAAAGAAATAGTTTTTTATTTTACTTGAGGTAAAATGAAATTAATCAATTATCTCACCGTTGTTTTCTTCATGTTTTTTGAAGAGACGAATGTGGTTATCTGAATATCTGATAATCTGTATTTTTGGTCTTTGTCCCAGAGTTCATCCTGAAATATATACAGGGAAACATAAGTTACTTTTACGACTTACACTCCCACTGACGAGTATCGGGGACTTACTCAGTTGCCCTTAAGACTCAAAGAAATGTCTAATGTTGTTACTTGTAACCGTGACCTATAAATTTATATCCTTTAATTGAAAGTATCGATTACTACGATAACCTCTGCGAGAATTTAACACAGTGTGATTTTTTTTAGAATTTTTTTTTTGAAACATTTAAATTTGCGGCTATTTTGGCACAACGTTCGTCTTTTATCGATGAAGTAGTTGACAGACCATTGGCCGAATTAACTGAGAATTCAGTACCCCGTTAAAGGCAACAACAGTAGCCACCCTTAGAAAGGGAAAAGCATGCATAAAATCCCATTCTTAGTTCCTAAATTTGTGTCCCATGACGTCATCATGATATGAGCCTGTCAATTTCGTGATCAGCGGAACAGGGGTGCGAAAGAACTTTTGGCTTAAAAATTTCTAAAAAATCACATTTTGTTCAAAACGCAAAATTCTTCAGAAGAATTTGCTCTACTACTGAATTCTTTCAGTAAACATAATACAAATATTTACGTCATAGGGACTAAAAAGCAGCCTTAACTTAAACAAAACCAACTATGACCTTTCTAAAATTTATTGGTGGGATGGAATCTCTCTTCTCATTTGAGAGTCTTGACAACGTCATCGGAAAGCATTGATACTCACAATGATGTTCTTTGTTTTATACACCTCAGACGCCAGGTTATCCAACTCTAGATGTACATTGGGTTGACATTTTGTTGCAGCTACAGTCAAGTGTAGATTAATCAAAACACAAATTGCCGTAGTCAAGACTAAAAAACAAATGATAAGATAAACACAATGAATTAAAGGAGAGACATAAATAAATAAGAAATGGTGGACGAATAGATAGAAAGATGGGTAAAATTGATTGAAGAAGTTAAACTTACATGAATGAAATAATAAGTCAATTGAAAAAAATTAAATGAAGAAATGAATGAATGAATGAATGAATGAAGGAGTGATGATGAATGAACGAACGGATGAGTGATGGACAGATGGATGGATGAAACAACTTTAAGTAGACAAATGATGTAACCTGACTGAATGATAGCAACCAATAGGGAATATACAGAAAAGCGAGTTGATTTGTAGCCCTGTTGGCTATGCCCCCCACCCCCTCCTAAACGTATCAGCAAACGTGTCAACAAACGTATCAAATTTAGATGGGCTACTTACTTTTCATTCTGTAACGACCTTTTTGATCCACAAGTCTTTGTTCTCTCTCGTGAATGTGAACTTAAGTTCTTAAAAGTCTACCAGAAGGGATCCCTTTATATACCCATCATCGTGAATTTGTAAATTTCTAATTTAAAAAAATGATTCTGCCTGACTCTGAGCTGGAATCATGTTCCGCTCCCCATTTCTGAAACCTTTTTGGTACCTCGTTGCTGAGGAAGTGGTATAAAACGCAAATTTCTTGTCTTTTTGGGTAGTTTCTTTCTTTTACATCGGAAATCATATTTTAAACTTTCTCATCTTAACATATGCTTAAGAGAGGGTTTTCTATTCATAATTATGATAATATGAGCTGACATCAAGCGACGGGACGATGGAAGTAAAACCTCTGATTAGGAAAAAGGCTGATGGGGAAGAAACACATGTGCATGGTTACCCAATGAATGTTTCTATTCATGTAGAATTATTGCTTGGAATAAAAGCAGATTAAATGGCCAACCGTGTTAATGTCCGAGATGGGTTCCCCTTTCTTTCGACAGCCACTCTCTTCCGTGGGTTCTTCACCAAGTGTCATGTCTGCCTGTGTCAAGGAAGAGAAAGAATATAATGGGAAGTTTCGCCAAATGAACATCCATTCACTTTGGTGAATTTTTGAAGGTGCAATTCTATTTCTAGTTATTTTTCTCGACAATGCACCCTTCAACCTGAGCGGTATTCGGTATTATTGTAGTGACCAGTTTGACGGACATGATAGCATCGATAACAATGGTTAGATAGGGTATTTGCACCATCCAGTAGTTCTGCTTCTTATTTGTCCATCATTGTAAAAATTACAGATTAAGAAAGAAGGCCGAGAATAATATCCCGATATTGTAGGGGTATAAAGAACTAGATACTTTCCCACTGCTAAAGTCTCAGTCCTTCTTATATGTTGCTGTATAATAATCAGCTTATTCTCGGCCAGCCTCAAAGTTATTCAATATCGTAGGGAGTTTTCTACGGTCATCTGGCTAGGAGTTGAATTCAATGCAACGGTTTAAGGATCCTTTGATGTTGAAAACTCGTAAAATGATTTGGAAATTCGAAAAATTCGAAAGAAAGATCCTAATACAAATTTGATTCATTGATTGATATGCTTTGTCAGATATTACATCCAGTCATCCTTCCGGCCAGCATCTTCAGTCGTTAAATCGTCTGATGAGCAGCTGTTACACCTGTAACGACATTATCATGGATTATTATTAGATTTAAACTCTGTTTTGGTACACGTAGGTTGTTGAATGATACATGATAACACACGCAATAAAATAAAATATTGAATTCTAATATATACCACAAAGCTCCAAATGACACGTATGTCAGAAAAAGGCGTATTTCATACTTCCCCAATATCACTGAAGTGCTGAGCCAGCTGTTTCAGTGACTGTGTGTGATTTTATTTAGTATATACTACAACAGTGGACAGTGTTTTTTGCGCGCTCTGATTGACTACTCGATCAGTGAATATCCTGCTCTATTCACTGATTCACCCCTCGTTCTCCGAGCTTGCGACGCCAAACTCGCGTAAGTTGCGAGCAAAATGCCTTCCCGGTTTGCTGCCGTCACAAACAAAAAATTTCACAACTAATCAAGCAAGCTGTTCCCGAAATACACGAAGAAGGTGACAAACTTTGGTTTGGAAGTTTTAACAGGTAAAGCTTTGTCGTTTTGACTTGAATTTATCGATAAAACCGATGAAAAAGTTTTTTTTTGTTTACATATGCAAATTAAGCTTAAGTCTTGCAGTACTATATTTAGTTGACTCGTTCATAAATAAGCTTAAAACTAAATTTAATAATCTTTTTTACAGAATGATTTTAAATACAAAAAGAATTCACAACTCCTTTTGAAGAAGTTTCACGCAAGAGCTGAACAAATGCCCGGAACAAATGCCTTCAAAAGTTTCATTTGTCGGCGAGAAAAAGCGACGACTGCGACCGTTCGGTCATTGCGCGCCAAAATTGTAATCGTTGGCAACAGTAAATGAGTTAAAAATCATCATTTTTGTGCTGAAATATCTTACTGTTTTAGTATATACTAAAACAATTATACACCTCAGTATCAGTGGCTAGTGGTGGATATATCCCTCGCCGCTTCACGGCCTCGGTAAATGCACCACTAGCGACCTCCACTTTGGTGAATAATTGTTATTTAACCCGGATTTTAACTTCAACAGCTCTTTTTCATCGCTTGCACGCTTATGCGCGCTAAATTGCACCATAATTTTGTTACTTTTGTTATTTATTATACTTATATTAACGTATATTATAACTTAAATTAACCTATGTTTCAAAAGTCATCTTTGACAAAAGCTGTAGTATGCAAATAATCTGATCGTAGACAACATACAGTATCACAGTGTCTTCAATCATTTCCAAAAATGTGAACTCGATGAATCAGGCAACAGTTGGTAGGTCAGTGCATTAACCATCCACGTGATGTCAGGCACAAGCTGGCGTACAAGCTTTGTTTTAAGCTACGCCCAGAGGAACCCGGTTATGCATTTTGATAAATTAAAATATTTTAGATACTGAAATAAAATTGGGGATGATAAAAAATTATACGTGTTGCAGACAACAATGCCATGTCTCATTTTCTGCTTCAATTTTCTTTCTTGATACCCCCTCCACCTCCTTTCTGCGATCACAAATCTCTCTCGTAGTACGAAAATTTTTGCCAAAAAAATACATCGCTGTGATATTCTTTTAAATCTAAAAATAAAGTAAAGTACACAAAATATCGCGTCTAGGAACTCACTTATTCATCTCAGAAGGGGCAAATCCCGACTACAATGTTACATTGCATCACCGTCGGCATGATGCTGTACCAGACGTACAGTACTGTTGTTGGATCTAAGATGAAGAAGATGAAAGATGTGCTCTGACTCTGAGAAATTTTATGGTTTATAAATTTTCCAACAAGTTATTATCGACCGCTTCGGTGTAATTTCAACAGTAAAAGTCTATTCACCCATGCAAGCTAGAATTCCAACGATTGTTTGAGTTGTCCGCTTGTGTAACGTTTAGTCGGGATGTGCGAATATGTAATTCACAACAGCATATTATTTTATTGGTTGTTTTACCACTCACTTTGTTGATCTGAACCCTCTAAAACAAGGAAAGAGATGAGTTATGACAAAATGCTTATCTTCTTTCCATCTGTGCAGACCTCTTTGATCTCTCCGCATGCGTACGTTTAAAAGGAAAAAATTTGATCATAAATATTGTTTTCACTCCCAGGGGCAGCCTATTAGCACAGCTACAAAAACGTTCACAGGAGAACCCCTTCGCAGTTCCTTAGTTACAGAGGAATTCCCCATGTCCTATTGGCCTGCAGTTAAATATTTTCGTTTAGTTCGGATGCTGCTGGAAGGTTTTCAGGAAAGTTTCTTTTGGCAAGTTATTATACCATGAATATTCAGTTCTTATGGCCGCCGCCGCTGGGCCTTCGGAATTAGATATTATCTTATTTTGATCTTTTTTTTAATATTTGAGTGATGGTTGACAAAAAGGAGGGCCTTATATGACCTAAGCTCACCTATTGTAGCTCTGTTTAGTCAAGACGTCATTGAAAACTATGCTCCTAAGTCTTTTAGGACCCGCCGATGGCTATATAATTTGAGGCCCCCCTAAACTTTGACTTGAATAATAACTTCAAAACCGTAAGCTATGACCACCAACTTAAGCGAATTTTTCTTACATTTTTCTGGAAAAAATTTAAAGGCATCGTGACGTAATACTTCAAAATTAACGTCGCCATGGCAACCGAGTTTTGGCGGTCATGCTTTTCAAATTTCCATTTTTCTTTAAAAAAAGGTTCATTTTTCTTTTTTACTAAGTAAACTGTTTTATTAATAAAACCTAATTTAGCATTCCTCGAGAGGCAGAGCTTTTAATTATAATTTTTTCGGGCGGGAAAGGCGCGAATTGCGCGTGAATCATAGCGGCATGATAACTCGGCCGGTCGATATTTCTGAAAATCAGTTGATGTCCCATGTCATCAAGTGACAAACGTGGTCCGTTGCTTTGATGGTTTTTGTGGCCACTTTGGCGATGAATGAATGCTTTTGGCGGACAATGTCGACGGTGAAAGTATTTTAGAGCAAACTAAAGCAATTTGGACCAGTATCTTCAATTTGTCAGTGTGACTCTCACCTCGCAGACGAGTTTGCGTGGTGGCAGCGTATCTTTGTCGTAAGTGCGTTTTAGTTCGATTCTTTACGAACAAAACCTTGCTTTTCCCTGAAATCTACCGTTGAATTTATGTTACCCTTAAGCAAACCCCAACCTGTGGGGTACCTCAGTGGTCGGTTTTGAGCCCATCGCTGACATCATCAAGTCTCACCTCACCAATTTCACTTCTTTGCCGACGTTACACAACTATATGTCAACTTTAAGACCAATTCTGATTTAGATGCATGTCTGGCCAGGTCTAGGGTTAAACGCTGTGTCGTGAATATCGACAAATGGGGAATAATAGTAAGCTGTTCCTAACAGAGGACACTGAAGAGCTGCTGTTATTTAGTTCCAAAATAACACTGAAGTTGAGATTAAAGAAATAAGAATACGCTCTTAGACACCAGATAGAGCTGAATTAAACCATCTTAAAAAGGGGAGGACTCCAAAATCCTGTTGCAAGATATTCAGAAGAATGGAGTGCTCAGTGGTATCAAAAGCACTAAGCTTCAAAAGTATGAGGGTGTTACAAGCTCATTGTCCTTTTGAACCTTCATTAGAGTAACCTTTGTAGAGTGATAATTACAGAAGAGGGAGTAAAATAAAGAAAGAACCCGGGGGTACTTTTTCGCAATGGACGAGAAGTTCTTGCGCAGCCTTTTCAACTACCTTAAATGAAATGAATGAAATGAATATTACTGACACGGAGGAAATATTTATGAACCCATTCAGAGGATGCCAACGGCAGTTCTCCAATTTGCAGGGACCAGGCCACCAAGAAGCGTGGGGCTAATACATCTACTGAAAGGACTTCAAGGCCCATAAAGGGGCACTATCTAACCGAGGGAAGCTAGGCTGGCTACTACTGCCTCCTGCTGCTGCCCAAGGACAAGTAATTACATGCTGTACATCCAATTAACTATATTGCATCAACAAACGAACATTATATGCAAAAACTGTATGATTTTATTTCACCTACATATTCATTAACTGAGACTAAAATATCTACATCGTCTTATTTTTGTTTGTGCGTTGTCAATCGAGATTCTCTGAAAAAGCCTTTTTTTCCATTCAGTGAACAAATCAAATACTTAAAATTTTGACGCCAAAACGGCAATCTGGCAATATTTTGAAGTTCATGTCAATCCTACCCGATTTTTTCGATAGCTGTGCAATATTAATGTAATATAACATATCATTTCCCAAAGGGAGTACACTTGTATTATATATCATACCGAAGCTGGATAAATACATAAACAATAATTCTTGCAGAAGAAATAACTTAAAAACACAAATTGATAAATAAAGTAATTATTTTATAGTATTTCGATTGAAACATCACAAAAGCAAGAGGATAAAATAATACTTGAGCAATAAAGAACTTAAAAACATAAACTGATAATTCAAAAACCATTAATAATTCATAAAAGAAAGTAAAGAAAGAAATCAACAATTAAAGAGTGTCTTTATATCTGATAAAGACACGGCTAAACACGTCCAATTTTTTAGACCAAAAGAACCCCAAATCTTGGTATTGGTGCAGGAATGAGTTGATCAATATGAGAGATTTTGAAGCTGTTCAAAATACTCCCAGTCGTGTATTATCAGGTTTAAAAACTCTGGACATAGGTTCGACTTTTTAAACCCGATAATACACTCCTGCTTGTTTTTTAAACAGTAAAGAAAATAAATATGTTATATTATTTTGATTAGGCTATTTTCTGCTGTTATCTTCTAGAGTCAATCTTGCAATCTGACATAGATGCAAGATTTTTTAAAAAAGCTAAGAAGGAAAAAAGATTTTAAATTTGCATCTGGGTCTCAGCTCTTTAAAGCCTGAGCTAAATCAAAAGTACAATAACCTTAAAAGTAAATTACTCAAGCGCCTTTTGAAAGATGATATTAACTAGCCAATATAAATAAATCGCCGTCTTAAATATGGTTCTTTAAATGTCGCACTGATTCAGGGACAGAGCTGTTTCTTTAATTTTTCCAAGTCGGGTTGAACGTCAGACAGAAGTTTTCCTTTTATTTCTACTAAAATAGTATTGGCATGACTTACTGCCATGTCAATCAAGCGTCTTCCACTTGCCAGTGCACCATGGGAACGAACGGTGCAAGTGGGTGTGGCGCAAATGCTGACTGTAGTTTGATTGGCTGCTTGCGGCTGAAAAAAACAAACAAAACATAAACAGTATTAACAATTTAATTACAAACACTAGCAAGAGCCTAGTAATTGAAAGGGGATAGACTGCGAGCAACCGTTGATGTTTCCTTGCTTTTAGTCTATATATCTTTCGTTACAGCCGGTCTATCTATCTGTCTGTCTGTTTATATTTCTGACCGTCTAACTGTCTGTCTGTCTGTCTATCTATAGCCGTCTACCTGCTGTCTGTCTGTCTTTGTATCTAGCTCGGGAATACAAAAAGTACATCTCTTCATTAAGGTCAGCGCTCTCCGCATACGCACAGTCTGTTAGAAATGACGTGACTGTATTATTCGGAACATAGGCCCTTTTCATTCGAGAAATAAGAATCACGACAAAACAATATTAACAAAAAAGAGGATTTTTATGATTTTATTGATAGTTCCTCACCAACAACAGTGACTCCCTTGCTTCTTGAAAATGTCGGATGACTTTCTTGCTATCCCACTTTAAGTCTTTTAGCTTGTGAACAATGCCTTTTGAGTTGGAAACGTTACGAAATTCTTCTATTGCGCAGTGAAGCAATGGTACGAATGACTTCACAATGCAGTGATCGATTTTCAAGCGCGATTGTATCTGCAGGTCAGAAAAGAAAAACGGTAATTTTCATGTGCACGACGTCATTTGAGATACATGTCAGTTAACATTCAGAGTATGGAAATAGTGCTTCTTTAATGGTTCTTCTGTTGAAGTGGTGAAGCCGGTTGAGAATATCGAAACTTTTGATGTTAATTCTAGGATATACTTATGCAACTTTACCAATAAATAACTTGATCAATCAATTATTTGATGAAGTTGTGTACTTTAAATCTCATGACAATCAACTGTTAAGCATTTGTAATTTTTCGTACATTATCGCCATCTCGCTGTGACCAAGTTATGTAGATGGGGTAGTTTGTCCCACTGTGCTTCGGGACTAGCCAATTGGCATTCTGCAAAAAACAAACAGATGTAATAGAAGTAAATTCTCTTCAAGCAGTATTTGCTTAAATTTTTCTAACGTGTGCAGTAATAAAAAATAAAACAAACACCGAAATTTTTTTTCCACTTGGTGTCAGTATAAGTAGTTCGACAAGCACTGATTATATTGTCCTTGAATTCATCACCCCAAAAAAGTCTCTTTTCCACAGTATTAAATCTCAATAAAAAAAGTAAACTGATTTTGATTCTACTAAACCAGCAAATGTTATAATCAAAGTCTAAAACACTGAGATTGAAAATTTAATGTTAAAGGTAAAAAAAGCTGCTACACAGTTTAAATTTCCTCGATGTGTTCATCTTGGTATGCTTAGTTTTCTTTTTCTCGCTCTTATTTTTTGGTAACACCGGTATCAATCGCAATTAATTTTGCTGAAGATTTATTTTTTTTGGCTAAAAAATAATATAGGTCAAACATTCACAAATAGAAAATGCTTTGAAATTCGCCTCGATTATCGTACACCCTTAGAAATGAACTGACCTGAGACTCATGTGTGAATTAGGCTATTGACAAATTGCCCGTCCCTTGACAGCAAGAAAAAAGTCATTCTAATCCGTGATTTTTCTATTAGAGTACATTGCAGAAGCAAAACTATTCGTTTCGCAGTGCTACTTTTACATCGAGATAAAAACAAAACTTATCCTAGCCTCATATACTAACCAATCTGAAATGTCAGAAAAGGAAAAAATGACAACAATGTTTCGTAACTTACGAAGACTCACAACTGGTGAAAATGAATCCCTTTTTGGATTACATCAAAAAGTTACTTACAATTTGTTTCTTGCTCTTTGTGACGTCTTTACTTAGATTGCCTACTAATAGCAGCATTTCTGATACCAAATCCTTGGTACTTTCATCGACTTGTATACAAGGGGTATGAGGATTGCTGGCAGGACGACTTCGAATGGAGACAACAAGGGTAACAAAAATAAGAAGAGTCTCTTTAAAAACTGAAAATAAGAAAATAAATTAAATACATGCTGACCATCTATAATGATTTTTTTGATCTTCATATCCAAAAGCTAAGATTGCCAAAATTTTAAACTCCCAGCTAATTTAACTGCCGGTTTCTTTTCAGTGAATCGCCGAGAGAAAATCAAGGAATGGCTTCCACTTGCTAACCGTTTTGATAAACTAATTTACACTGCCAAGTATAATTATGCTTCTTTCAACATAAGTAATTGGGAATTGAATTACTGACGGAGAAACATGAACTTCAACTCTTACCCTTCATCTTCGTGTAACGATACCGTTAACTGTAGAACTCTCTGAGTGAAACCTGACTTCGTTTATCTTGAAAATTATCAATTTTGTGCACCACCAATGAACGGACCCTCCTTTTATACTTGCACCAAAAGCCATTTTTGTAATTTTTGAAAGTTTTCACAAATTTAGGGAAGTTACATTCAAAAAAACTTTGTCAGTTCTAAAATCAGAATTCATACCTTCATGTATACCAGTGAAATGTTCCGCTATATTCACCAGAGGAGTTCAGCAGCTGTTTTAGTAAAAGCGTTTCCTTTCATGCATTTGTGCAACAGTATTCTTCTTGCTTTTGTAGTTGCAAAAAGAAGTGCATTCCAAGAAATTAATGCGTTGAAAATTCCAAAAGAAATCAGTAAGGCACTTAATCTTCACGACTTGATCTTTAACTTTCATTTTGCTCTCGCGTTCGGTTTCCCTTTAAATGATTTAGAGTATACATGTCATCATAACCTTGCAATAAAAAATAGGAAGTTAAGTAAAATCATAACTTCATGCAGAGTTTAACATAGACATTTTGAATTTACCTACCAAGTATGCACAAATCTTTTGAAAAGCTAATTAATATCCGTACGTAACTTGAGGTATTGAGGCTTGGATTAATTAACTAATATCAAAACTTTTCCACAGTTTACCCAAACTTTAAGTTACCTAACATAAAATTGTCTTTGAGACTTGATTCTTTGCAACTGTTCTTTACTGTAAGTCCTACCTCGAGTAATGATGTCGACTTAATCCTAGAATTCGTTATTTTTTACTCGCCGTTCCATTAATATCATCGCAGTACAGAAATCTAAATAAGTCATCTCGCCCTGTGATTTATTAAGCCCAAAAAAAACTTAACAATTTTGATGCAACTTCTATACACTAAATAAAGACTGCTATTTCCAAGAAGAACACCTGCTGCATGATTCCAAGAATTAGGCATATTAAGACAAACATTTGAGTTAAATAAAAACGATTCTTAAACTTGGTAAGTATATTATTACATGACAAACTTCAATAGTTATGAAACAGTTTTTCAATTAAAGAACCTTTCAACTATATCTGGCATATCAAAACTTGCTACTGAAGACAGTGGCTGAACTCTTGATTGGACCTACATGTATTTAAAAGAAAACATTCACGGTCTTTTTGAGTTGATTCTAAACTAAATAAAAGTTCTTTGCAAACAGCTTCAGTTGTAAGAACTTTTAAAAACTTTGTTGTAACTAATGCGAATTTTGATACATGCAATGCATGAAAAAAATTTCCGCTGTAATCAAAAATCACTTTAATTTTGATAAAGAAATTACCTGAGGTATGGCAAGAACAGAAATTAGCTCGTGATGGTCAGGTTATTATTTTTGTCTTTTTTTTTCGTTTCATTTTTTGTTTTTATTTTTATTTTTAAACGCTGATGGTCTTGTCACCGAATGTGTTTGTGGAATATTTCATGTCGATGATAAGGATGTTTCTGCATTCTATGCTTTCCAAGAACTATTTGAAAAGATATCACATGGAAGAACACAGGCGAACTCAAGCGTACCTCGTAATCCTAATTATATTAATCTTCTTATTCTAAATCCTTATCTGCTGCTTTCCGGAAACGACAACAATGGAGAGAACCTAAAGAATACCGACGATATTTTTGTCGAAAAAACACCTAGCCATGAGAGATTGTCGAATAAGGTTCAAACGATTCGATGGAATAACTTATGTGCGACGTCTTGTAGAAAGCCATAGTGTTTAAAGTCAACGATAAGGGAAGGGAGCTCTCTAAGAACAATATGCCAAGTATAAATAATACAAAGAGCAAAGGTGTAATGTTCGCTACCACCAACCACCATAATTAGTGATTTGATTTTTGAGAGACTGAACTGTCTTAAACTGAGATCAGGCCCAATTTATACAGCTTGCGTGGTCCTCATAAAAACCGGGCCTGATTTTAAAATTTGCATTGTCAGACCCTGAGTTTTATTTAACAAACGGAACGAAAATAGAGCCTGGTCCCAGGTTAGAGGTAATTACATTTAAGTTGTTCATTGGTGAGTCAATAAAATTCATGCGCTAAAAATTATCATTTCTTTATCCTCGCAAATATGGCTTGATTGATGGATGAATCACTGTGCGAAAAAATGGATTTGCACAAATTTGCCCCTTGCTCGCAAAAAATGCAAAAACGAAGGAAAAAATCGGGAGCAAAGATGATAAATGGCACATTTGCGTACCAAAATCACCGGATTGTAAATAATGAGGCAAATGTGGAATGTGCCATCTTTTCCCCGATCGCTCCCAAGTTTTCATAATTTTTCGACATATTTGCAAGGAGCAAGCTTCTGCAAATCCACAACTATTACGTTAGATAAATCGATCGTGAACTCAATAAACTTAAGTACCACTGTCATTAATCAACTGTTCCACCACACTCAACTACCACCGCGCCACTGTCCCACTATTCCTTCACACTTTACTACCAAAATGCTACTGTTCCACTGTTCCACCACACGTAACTATCACTACGCCACTGTTTCACTGTTCCTTCACACTTTACTGAATGAATGAAGCTTTATTTAATCTCGGGTTTGATGAGGTTGGTTTGACCTCTGGCAAAAAAATATGCTAATAAGCCGAGAGAAAAAAAAAGCAAAGAAGACAAAACAAATAAATAAAATAATAGAGAAAGAAAGGGTAATCCAAAACCTTATTTACAGTATAAAGCCTAAAAATTGCTTGACATAGCTATTTACAATAAAAAGCCCAATTGCTTAATAGAACATAGATATTATATAGATTTAGCTAAAACCTTAGCTGTCGGACTGCTTTTTTAAAGGCTGATAATGTGCTTAGGGATCTTAAGGTATCAGAAATCTCGTTCCAAGTAATAGCCGCCAAGTACTTTACTGAGTTCTTGCCATAACGAGTCGTATTAGGTTTCCGTTACTTGCAGCTCGTTAACCCCTCCCAGTTTTTTGATGTTGTCTCTTAACCTAAATAGGTCTCTCAGATATTCAGGTGGATAATTGTTAATTATCTTAAATACAATAATTAACAAGTTCTGGATACGTCGATCCACAAGGCTGTAACCAATACGATCACAAAGAGTGCTAGTTTGTGAAGACTCGTCACTGTACAAGTAACGAAGTGCTCGTTCATGCAACCTATCCAGTTTTTTACTATCAGACTTTAAAACAGTGATGCCATATGGAGGAACAGTAATAAAAATGAGACATTATGAACGAATTATAAAGGCAGAGTTTGGTCCGAAACGATAATATATTCTTTAGTCTACAAAGGGGATTCAGGAAATTATATGAGGGACCAGCTGAGTTCAGCGATGGGAAATCGTGGTGTTTGGGAGGAATGTCCCGATCACTCCAGTTGTCGAAGGATAATAAAATAACGTAACGTCATTGCCAATTGATTTAATAGCAAATTAAAAAGGTATGAGGCAAAAAATTCCTACATAGGACAGCACTCTAAAAAAAGAAATGCTTGAGAGACACAAGTTCCCCATCTCCCCATCATTTTTGTAGTGTTGCGTTCCCTTGGGACCTAATGTGCCGCTCCACTTACTTAGGGCCTGTTTACATGGATTTGGGGGACCCCAGGTAGCTGAGATAACCCGCCTGAGCATATAATCCCTGACATGATCTCCCGACCTATCATGTAAACGTGATCACATTAAAAGGAGAGATTATGTGGACTCCTACCTGGGGTCTCCCAACTCCATGTAAACAGGCCCTTTTAAAAGATATAAGTCCACTTGGTGACAACTGTAGTTATAGCCTGTTCCAAGCTCTCAGATGAAGCGCAAGTGAAAGGCACGCGAAAATGTAAGCGCTTGATCTGGGAAAAAAGGGCGGTGTTCGCGCTTTCTATATTATCTCGACCTTGGAACAGGCTACTGTAGTTATAAACGCATTCCATGACCTCTCAATAGTAAAGGCTCTCAAGATCTATATTTATTGCAATTTTAATGTTTATTAAACGCTGTTGGTTATTAATTCATTAATCAAATATTAACTTACTTAATTTCTGGTACAATACTATTTTAATAGTTTTAACAATCTTGTTATCGGTACAATATTAATGTAATACAACGGCATTTCTTTCCCATAGGGAATACAACTTTAAGAAAAAGATTTGCATCTTGCTATTTGTTTTTCTCAATCATTTGACTTTAAGAGACATCTTTTAGTTACAAGTTTGTATTTTCCACAAGTCTTGGATCAGATTGAAAGCATTTGTGGTTAACTCATCCAATATAAGCTTCGTCCTCAAGGCAGCATCTTCAATGGTTGAAGCTGAGCCGGTATTTGAAGAAACAATAATATCTTGATCCTCTCGATCACCAGGGTTTTTGGCTCCTCTTTGTCCTTGCTGGTTCTGTGGAATAGAAGAAATGAGGACACTGTCAAAGGCTGGAATCATAAGTTGGCGAGATTTTACTACAAGCCCACAATTTAGCACAACATAAAAAGAAGGAATCTATATTTCAAATGCCTGTATAGCCACGTAGCCAGAGATTATTTAGCCTCTCATGCAGACGTTCGTAGGGACAAAGCCCTAAACTAAAAACGTCATGCAAAATAGTCAAGCAAAGTTTTAGCATATATGCCTACAGAACGTTTACAAAGACAGTTGTTAAAAACAATTTACTTACAAATTTTATAATTGCCACTATTCTTCTCAGACAATCTAAC